ATCAAAATTAACAATGTTCTGTCAACAACATAACCAGTACGGGCCGGTATTCCTCAGTGTTCGGTCCTAGGACCAATCCTTTATTTGCTTTTTATCCATGATGTCCCTTGCCCCAGCAACTGTGAAGTCTACCTCTATGCTATGCTGCACTTGTCGCCCAGTCGTGTGCTGGTGATCTGGTTCACGATGGGTTGCAGAGTGCAGTAGAAGAACTACTAGAGTGGGCGGAACGATGGCTGATTAGAATTAATGATTCGAAAACGCAGGCTATTTATTGTACCAAAAAACGTCGCGGCCCCCCGCAGAGGTTTCTGTAGACGACAATCGTGTACCATGGACAAATTCTGCCAAGTGCCTCGTTGTCACTTGTCACCCTTGATAAAGGCATGATCTGGCAGAAACATACAGCAGCCTTGAAAACAAAATCCAAATTGAGTTTCGGCAACTATAACCTTTGTTATGTAGATACTCCAAATTGAGTTTGATAAACAAAGTTCGCCTATATAAAATGATTATTAGACCAGCCATTACTTATGCATATGCGGCTTGGTATTTTCTTGCCAAAACACACATGCAAAGTCTTCAAGTACTGCAAAGTAGAACTTTGCGAACAATTTGCAACGCTCCTTGATATGTATTAAACGAGACACTACACAGAGACCTTGACATTCCTTACTTGAGGGATTATGTCAAGCTTCAGGTGCAGCAGCAGAATCGCGCAGCAACTCTCTGTTGCGCGACTCAGTGGACTACACAGTGGAGCAAGTTCGTAAGCATTCAAGGCCACGGCTCCCACTGTAATAAAGAATTAGCGCGAACTTTTAGTAAACTTAAAATTACACTCTAACAAGACCGAATCAAACTTTGTTTAGTTCGCCTCAAAATTAATCCGTGACCAGTTCAAAAAGCCTAGGAGTTTCCTCTTAAACTAAACACTTCTTTTTTTCTGTGCTCTTCTCCTTCTTTCTTCTCTTTCCCTTTCTATTTTTCCTTAACATTGTCTTTTCTCCTACCATTATAAGTTCACAAATTATCCTGGGGTTCCGGAACTTTTCAGTCACCCGATTTTATTTGACATCAAATTGGGTTTTTCCCAGAAAAGGATTGTTTTTTGCCGCGCTTATAATTTCAAATCTCGCATGAATTTCTTTATTTTAAGATATGTACGGACTTTGCGAATCATGCAAATAGAAGAGATTGAATCGATGGTTTTGGTAGGAAACAAGAAACTTCCAAAGTAAGGGTCTCCGGAAAAAGCTGACAGGACAAATTGGATACTCTATTCGCTGGTATCCTGATGTTTTCTCCTCAAATGGCTATTTTGCTGCAAATAATATTTGCATATAATTGCCATAAGAAAACAAATTAAGTATTACCGACACCTCCGACTTTATGAATTAATAGATATCAACGGTAATGGTCAAGTGTAAGCCCTGGGAATGCGTGGGATTATTGATATATCCGTGAACTTCAATTATAACCATATACAGCATTCTGTAATACAAAGATCCTGTTCAGAAAAGGAAAATCGAATGGCAGTCACTTCCATAGTACAATCGGTGAATTGTGTGGTAACAGTGGTGTAATCAAAAATGTTTAGAACATTGGAAAATTGATTGTTGTTCTGTTCAGTATTCAAGATATATCTGTACAAAACTAAAGTTCCTAGCCAATTCTAATATCTGTCGAATTTGCTCGGAAGTCTGAGCAAAATGGATCATTAGCGTCTCTTTGATTTTTTTATCTATGTGCTTCATAACTACAACTAAGAGAATATTTTCTATTCTTTGAAGACGAATAATAGAATAATAATAGAAAAAACTTAAGGACTTACTTTACCATGCTCTCGTCTACTCCTTAACCTATTGACGTGATGATAACTATAATTGAGTTGTAATATGCGAAAAGTCTACCAGTTTTCACGCGTAAGATGTAAGTCTATGATTTATTAGTTGGCGTCGAACGCTGACTCGTTTTCTTTCTTTATCATGCCCTTTCGGTGTCGCATTCTAAACAAATGAATTATCTACACCCCATAAATAACACGGCTTGTGCGACATTGTAAAATAAGGTTTCCTAGAAAAATATGGGGCGCATTAAAAATGCTGATTTATTGTTCAGAATATAGAAAATACATAAATAAGCCGTAACGTTTGTTACTTAACAAAATGACCTATTTCTTTCTTGTATAAGCTTTATTAGCTTTCGTAATAGCAGTCTGCTGTGATGGATGTGGAAAGTATATAATTTTACGACTTTTCTCTTTTCCTATTTACAAGTGAGCTGACAAGGGATCAAGTTAAATGGAACGACGGTCGTTCCGGCATATCCTCAATGGATAACAGGAAAGGAAACTCATAGGGTAAAGTTGACTGTATGCAACAATTATTTGAATTGAATGATTATTCAAACTAATATTATTTTGTAAACTTATGTTAATAATGGGAGTTTGAAATAATACGCTTTTTAAGTGTACCTTACGTAAAAGTATTAGATTTTCATTGGTAATTAAACGAGTAGTAGCCAACATACACATAGATATCATAAATTAGGAACATAGGCGAGGAAACATATTACACGAATTAACTAGATAGAAGGTATCCGAATAAATCGAAAAAATTGATTTATAAACCTTAAACATAAGGAACACTGATTCGGAGCTCATTGGGAAAACAAATAACTAACAATACTTGTTTGATATGAATGCAAAAATGCAAATATTACAAATTGATTGCACCTGATCATATTATCTCCAATAAGATATTCTTGTACAATTTAACAAACTAAATGGTTATACAAACTGCCACTTCAACTGTTAAAAAGCGATTATTTGGACTAGATTATCTATATCTGTATAATAGATACCTACTGCGAGAACATGTTTTACAGCAACCAACAACTTTAAACCTTTACGAACGACCGCTGGTTATACTCGTAACATATATATACATATATAATATAAAATTTGGTAAATATTGAGGCTGTATAATTTAAAAGCTGATACAATATACCTATCTTCCCCCTATTACATCATAATTTATCGTATTTAAATAAAAATAGGGTAAACAAACACAAAATTTAGACAGTGAATATAAACTACGAAACTATAAATTTAGGTCAGAGAAAACTGTTGAAGTTATTCTTTATAATAACAAACCAATATAGATCATTAGTGTATATATAGATCACTACCTTTAACAATAAATTGCTATGTCAATTCTTACTGCCAGTTGAACGATTTTCAAAAATGAAGTAGGATTACCTACTATGATACCACAACAAGAAAATGTATCTGAATTTCTAAAATATTCGCATTCACAGTGCTTACCTTCCACCCCTTTGAATGTAGGTACACTTTTACGGAAAGTTATCTCTTGCCGATGATCCACCCCCTCTGACTGGAAAAAAATGTTGCAGGCGCCCATGGTCAATACGTGACGCTTCATATTATTCAATGCAAGAATTTGTTTTATAAAAATATATACTTCAAATCTTACCGTCCATATGGTAAACAAACACAAAATTTGGACAGTGAGTATAAAATATGAAACTATAAATTTAGCTCTGAAAAAAACTTTTGTTATTCTTCATAAGAATAATAAACCAATACAGATAATTAGTGCATAGCATCCTTTAACAATAAACTGCATAATGCTCTATAATTTCTCCTTGAGTTCAATCAGTACCGTTCTCATCGTCTATGATTGATATATTGTGTAGGTAACTCTTTAAGGGACGACTCGCATAGGTCCCAATCCATTATATTTCCTTAGAGCAGTTCTAACGAAACTTTGTACTAAATTTCGTACGAAATCATGCGCAGTCGGTAGAAAACACCATAACTGTCAATTTCGAACTGTCATTTATCACGTTAAAGTCACACTAACCACACTTTCCGTTGCGGCTTATTTGTTACTATAAACGAATAGAAAATTGTGGAAAATGGAGCAATCCAGTAACTCGCATCTATTATATGCGACTGCGGCAGCAGTGATCTGCGTTGTAGCTGCCCACCTCATGAAAAGACGAAGTAAACGAAACCGTAAAAAAATTTGATGTCGAAAATGGATCAATGAGAGGGATCTGGGCATGGGTATAAAAAACTTATTCGTCGCTTTAGATCAGAACTAGCCTATGTCCCTTTTTGTCAAAATTGAGATTTTAGACTATATGATACAGTAAGTTGTCGCCGATCAAGTGCAGTACTAATCTAAGTCCTAACGTTTAATTTTTCACGTACTCATTAAATTGAAAATAAGCCTATGTCCTGAAGCAAAATAATTTTTAGTGCAGAACTATCCTTTTGTAGAACAGTAATTCTATGTCCATATTTCGGTAAATAATTTTTAATGCAGAAGTATCCTTTGTTGGGACAGATTACCTATACTAATGAATTGTGTGGACTTAAGCTAGTTCTACTTTAAAACAAAATTTTATGTCCAATAAAATGTGGACTTAGGCTTATTCTGATCTATCATTTTAATAAACCCTCACACCTTTTACTGGACATAAACTAGTTCTGCACTCTACTGGTTTCGACTTGTTAGAAATCTTGGTATTTCAAGCGCGACCGTACACGAATAACGCAGATTACCTTAGTTTAAAGCAGTTCTTAGTGTAAAGTGATCGAGTTTGCGCAACGTAAACAAATTAAATATGAGTTCTAGAAGGAAAAAAATATTTGATCTTCTGGCCAAGCACTGTGATGGTGAGTAGTGCCTTTCTAGCTATAAAATTATTCTTAAGTAACGCATTAACATTGGAAATACATGTTTAGCTACTGGTTCAGGATACATTCTATTTATTTTTTTAATTGTATAAATAAAAAAACAATTAATAAAAGTTACACTTATAAAACTCTGTACTGAATGTTTTCCTTTATTTTTTTATACATACCAACCATGACAAACTAAAAGTATCTTCAAGACCAAAAAAAAATAGACGCCCAATATTTGATGAATACAGCAAATCTTATGCCGCCTGGTTATTTACTCTCTAAGGTAACGGCTGCTTTTAACAAGAGCGATAATGCATTTTGCAGTATGAACCTCGAAAATATAAAATCAGTTTTAAGTCTTGAGTCCAATAAAGTTATACCGATTGTGGCCGATAAAGGAGACGCAAATGCTAGTGAAGAAGTAAGAAGTGTTCTCGAAAAAATTATAGGTAAGCAAACTAACGTGTAAAAAGAATTAGTAATATTAAAAATCAACTCTGGAAAATGTTACTTTTGTGGACAAAGCTGCAGAGTTCAGTAGAGTGAATTTACGGCTAATTTAGGAAAAAATGGCTATTATAGGAAGAACTACTTTTCGGTCTAGGCCACAAAACAACACTTTACCAGTAACCAAGCAATTATACTCAAAGTACATGGTATACATCTCACTCAAGATATGATTTTTGACCAAACATACTTAGTTTCAGTCAAATAAATGTATGTGGCCCATTATTTAATAGACCTAATAATAAGAGTGTTTCACAAGGTGTGTATACTTATATCCTCAAAAATAATATCGAAAGCTCCGGTTTTGTTGATAACAGTTTTGAGGCTAAAAAACAATAGGCTTTTGAGGCTTTTCAAAAACAATATTTTAGTTATCCTTATAAATAATATAAATTTCTTACTGAGACTTTTTGTTCTAGACGTAATAGAAACTGACCAATTGGACCCTGAAAAATGTGGCAAACGGAAAAATATTGTCGAAGAGGATCTGTATTTATCGTCGGACACGGATCCTTTCCAAACTGATGATGAAGAAAACGACCCTAATTTTAATCCACAAGAAAGCAAAAAAAAGAAGAGAAAAAACTTTAATTTTGAAAACAATTATAAAGAAACTGATACAAGTTCTAACACAGATGAAAAGAATAATAATGTTAGAAAAATATCTTCAAAAAAGCTAAGAAGAGAACATACGTGGAAAAGAAACATAATTAAGTCATCGAGAAATCAAGGAAAGAAATACACCAACTGGAAAGGAAAGAAACAATTTGCAAGAAAAATGAAAACATCATGTGAAGAGAAATGTAGAATGAAGTGTCTAAATAAAATGAGTGAAGAAGGAAGACATAAAATATTTACTGAATATTGGGGATTAGGAGATGTCAACCGTCAACGTGATTTCATATCCAAATACGTTACAGTAGTTTCTAAAGCTAGAACTAGAATTCGTAAAAAGAATAAGCATCATCCCGCTGAAGAACCAGAAAAGAATGACAATACATTCTTAGAACTGTCTAATGATAAAAACAGTAGAAGAAACAGTACTTTTATATACTCTCTTCCCAAAAATGAAAACAATAAGGTGCAAATATGTAAAACTTTTTTTCTAAATACACTGTCAATTAGTGCACAGGTAGTCAAAAACGTTATGAACAAAACTGGAACTTCGGGTATTGTTTCCGAAGATAGACGAGGAAAACCTGGTAAAAACACTCTTATGGACGAGTCTACTAAGCAAAATGTCAGGGATCACATAAACTTATTTGAGACAATTGAAAGTCACTACTGTAGACAAACGACCAGTCGTATATATTTACCCCCAACACTTACGGTAAGCAAGATGTATACCATGTACCTGGAGTATTGTCAGGAAAATAATATTACGAAAACAGTAACTGAAGCAACGTATAGAACAATCTGTAATAGGGATTTCAATCTATCCTTCTTTCAGCCCAAAAAGGATCCTTGCGATATTTGCCACAAATACGATAATAGTTCTCCAGAAGAAAAATTAGAGTTGGAAGAAGATTATCGCATCCATATCCTAAATAAAAATAGGGCAAGAGAAATCAAACAGTTTGAGAAACAAAGAGCAGCTGAGAATAGCAGTGAGGTTTGTTGCGCTGTCTTTGACTTGCAACAAGTGTTACCAGTTCCCAAATCTAATGTTGGCCTGTCCTATTACAAATTAAAGTTATCAACTTACAACTTTACTGTGTTCAACCTAGCAACAAAAGAGTGCTACATGTGGAATGAGGTAGTCGGAAACAGAGGTGCCTCAGAGATTGGAAGTTGTTTACGTTTGTACATTATCAGCCAAGTAGGACAGGGAATAAGAGAATTTAGCTTCTTTTCTGACAACTGTAGCGGTCAAAATCGCAACAGATTTTTGTACTCTTTGTACAGCTATTTATCGCAAAAATATCAAATAAAAATACAACATACCTACTTAGAAAAAGGCCACACTCAAAGTGAAGGCGATTGCGTACATAGCGTAATAGAAAGAGCTGCTCGAAATATATCTATATACACACCAGATCAGTAGTATACGGTTGTAAGGACAGCTAAAAGGAAGGATCCTTACAAAGTAGTTGAGCTTGCACAGGAAAATATATATGATTTAAAAGATCTTGAAAAAAAGATGTGTATTAACTGGGAAAGAGATGAAGAAAACGAACGAGTGTTTTTAAATAAAATAAAACTAGTTGAAGCTGATCTACGTTTCCCCAACACTTTACTTTTTAAAGTAAATTACGACTCTACCTACAAGAAATTAAAGCTCACAGAAAAAGGAAGAAAAAAAATAGATGTAGAGATAGCCACACTAAAACTAAAACAATGATACGAAAAGGAAAATTCCTAAAAAAAAAGAAGTTTGATCATCCTCAGTTTCTTTGCCATAAAGGAGCAATTATAGCGCCTTACCATAATTACTTTAAAAATTTACCATTTTCCAACAAAACGAAATTTCAAGATTCCGATAGTGATGAATAATCTAAGATATGTTTTTATTTGTGTAGAAATTTAGGGTCAGTTAGAAATATTATTCTTTTGCTTAAAAACATAAGTTATTTTAATTATTTAAAAAATTAATATTTTTTATTTTTCAGAAACTACAGCTACTTAAGTTTTAAGTTTTTTATTCCTTTTACTTACTTATTGTTTTAATAAAAATTATTACAATAAATTTTATTAGATGAAAATTTTGTGTTTTTATAGAAAAAAGTCAATAAATCAGTTTTCACAAAAATGTTGACCAGATAATATTTTACGTTATTATCGTAGCAGGTTTTGAATAAAAAGTCATAAAATTAACCACTTGACTATATTATGTCCATAAACATATAATAAGCCTAAGTCCAAGAAGTGGACTTGGTATACTTGCTAAAATTGAAAGTAATCTATGTCCATCTTTTTGCTTTAACGTTAATGTTTTTCGTTTTTACTAAGGTATATTAAAAACAGACATATTTAGAACATGTGTACAAATTTTCATTAAAATATCTGTATAAATAAAGAACCTATTCAAAAAAATCCGTTTCCTGAAAACTTTGATTTTTGGACTTAGGCTAGTTCTATTCTAAAGCGACGTTATAGTGGAGGATCCTTTGGCTTGCAGGAACTTTTTAAGACTCTCTTATGAACAATTCGTTTATCTTTTGTCTTTAATTGAACACAGAATATCAAGAATGGATACTGTTATGCGAGAGTCTATCCGAGCACGAAACAGGTATGAATGTAAATTAAATACGTGTGGATCGTGGTTGATTGATTGCACTAAGGAATTATCACTCGCGTTCCTATTTCTCTTATAATCGCCAAAGGATGTTAGAGAAATACTTCAGTAACTTTTGTAGAGTAGCTTTTATTGAGGCATCAGCAACAGTTGAGAACAGAAGAACAAGTAACGAAATGAGTACAGAGAATAGTCAAAGACCCTTTTTATATTCTAGGATTAGAATTACGAATTTTCCAGAAATCAGTAGTGTGGTAAAAATGCAAGCATCTTCACATCCTGTCTCTCGAGTATGGGATGGTGTTATACTCGTAGGGACTTCGATGGTGTCAATGCTTTAAGGTAATGGCATCAGGATACCATAACTTGTATTCTAGTTGATTTATTCAATGTATTATTTAACTTATGAGTACTTAGTCTTATTCATCTAGAATTAGGATACTAGAAAACAGTCCAGATAACCCAAGTACCGTCTGATTCCAGGTTAGAAGTAACACTGCGATTTCTTGCAACTGGTGAATCATACTGGTCGTTAATGTACTCTACCCAAATACATGAAACAACCATCTCTAGAATTGTAAACGATGTATGTGAAGCTATCATAGACACTTTAAAGCGTACTTACCAAAAAGTAAGTAAATTCATATCTTGAATGAAACTTATGATATTGAAGTCTCAGATTTTTTCACGTCTTCCTCGCTTTCTCTGTTTATCCTTCATTTTATTTGCGCACAATATCACAGAAAATGTAATTAACACGTTTTTTTCAGAGTTGACAGAAAATAGAATTTAACCAGATTGGTCAAAGAATAGTGTGCAAAATTTAAGGACACCCATATCCAAGACTCGCACTGTGGGTAAGGATTCCCTGGAAAGAAAATTAGTAGCCTAATCAATACAACAAAGTCATTGTGGGCATAATTGCAATATCTTTAGTATTGTTTCCATGAAGTGGATGGGAAAACATAATAAGAGCCTAAACTCTTTTTTCCAGGTGAAGGTCAATACACTAAAAGGAAGGTCACTTTGCTAAGCCTAATATGGAATCTGAAAAGATCAGATTCGCTGAAGAGGAGCATAAAAGAACTATTGAATCCATGCAACCAAACTGTGATACGGAATATGAACTTCTCAGGAAAGAATCGGGCACAAATTAAAAAATAGAACGGGAGGCAGAAGTAACAATTGATGAAATAGGAGTCCAATAAATTAAAATCTTATTACTAGAAAAACATGTTCTGCTACAAAAAATAAAAAAACACAAACTTATTAGATATTTCTGGATATTTTTGAACCAATAAGTTCTCTATAACATTATAAATAACACTTTGCTTAAGTTGGCCAATGGCCTCAACGTTATCAAACTTTAACCTTATTCCAAATGTCAGTATAGGAAACCTTTTCCATTGCCCAAATTTTCTCTCAATCCAATTTCTATTTCTGATTTGTAACTCATTGTGTTATCAAATAATTTTTAATTGGATACCCACTGTCACCAACAATAACATATTAATTGAAGCCTCCTCATTCAAACCTAGCTTATGTTTGAATTTGCGAATATGTGTGAATCATAACTTGAGCTTGGCCAATGGCATACCACATCCTGAAACATCCAGTTTCGGTCCCATATTGCTCGAATATTAAAAGAGACGAAGCCTTTTCTGTTTCTAAAGATATCTGCATTGTTTCCACCAGGCAATATCCTTTTTATATATGTGTTCTTTCTAATTCAGCTTGTTTCAAAGATTTTAATAAGCTGATAATGAAGCCCTGCAATAGCTCTGGTCACCTTCCAAACAATTCGACTTGCTGTCCATTGATCAATGCCAACAAAGTCTCCAATAGTTTGAAGAAAGTTTCCTGTTGCATAATATCTTAAGGTAACAAAAACCATTGGTTCCACAGACACAACATGATTCCTGAAAATAATAAGTATTATTAATATTAATATAATTAATATTTAAAGAAGGATACTCACCAGTTTGTTGGAGACATTATTTGTGCTTCGACCTGGTTGATAACAAATCGAGCACCTTCTTTGGAAAGTCGAAACCTTTGAACAAATTCGCCATCATTCCACACTACAAAGAGATCAATTCTATATCTGTATTTCTTCTGTGGTCTTCTAGCATTTATTATTATTTCTTCTACTTCAACAAAGTCTTCATCATCTGTTAGTTCTGGGAGATTTTCTCGAATTTGTAGCTGTTGAGCGCCATAACAGAAAGATATGTGTAAATGTTTTACTATCAGGTAAACCCACCAGTAAATTGTTAAAACGCCAATGCAACAAAAAGAGAAACAAATATTTAAATAGCGAATAAGGTTATGTTTATATCACAAAACGCTGGTTTAAGGTTATATCAGGCATTGTACTGCTCCTAATGCGCAGTAGTCGTCTGCGCACTTTTAGTAGGATATTATTTAGAACAGTTTATGCAAAATTTAGCACTAAATTTGTTCATATAAAATTGTGTACTAAATGCCGTCTGACACCTTCCTTAATGTTGTACGAAATTTCGTACAAAGTTTTGTACGTAATTTAGCACGAAATTTCGTATCGTAACAGACGGCCTTTATACTATTTTTGAAAGAGCATTAAGTACCTAGTTTTGAAGGTCATTTGCTGATTCAGCCTGGTACATTTTTTTTCACAGTAATTAGTCAAACTCTAGTAAAGGTTTTTGCATTAAAACCAAATGTAATAATTCAGTTTTTTTTTGCATACTGTGCCAGTTTTGAATGAAATGAATACTCGGTTGTCCCAACCAGCTAAAAATGATAGCCCAGAAAATAAATCATATGTTTACAAGTTCTTCATAGCCATAACAGGCAAAAAAAGCAAGAAGTAGGGATTTTTTGAAAAATCCTAAAAGTGGCAATATCTGTAAAACTAGAAACCTTTTATTGAGGTCATGTTGATTTTATGTGATTTATCTGAAGCCAATCTACCTCCTGTGTCACTCTGGCGTGTTGTCTCTGGGACACAAGATAATTATGTTTGTTGTGTTAATAAAAGCTATTGTTTTGATAGAAGATTTGATTTTATGTTTAAATACAAGATGTATTTGGTTTTTCTTGAAGTGATTAGCAGTAACTAAAAAACTATTCAACGATGTAGTATACAGGTTGTTCAAGTCGAAATTTTTGAGAAAAGAAAAATTTTGCGTTTTTAGATACTCTGTGTAAACAGGAACAAATTCCAGCACTTTTTCCAGATCAGCTTAAAATCGATCATAACAGAATTTTAGAGCAAATATCTAAACAATTGAAAATAGGAACCATATGTTATATGATATCAAACTTCTTGTTCTTAGATGCTCTATATAAATATGCAATTAAATATAGGATGTTCCATTTAAAAATTATATGTTTGCTATAGCACGAAGGTATGGAACGCCCTGTATATATCAAAATAATTTGATAATATGCACTGGTTTCATATCAAGGTTGTCACGGAACCAGATTTTAAAGTGTTTATCTTTCTCAGTTTGCTCATAAAACTACTTTTCATTTTCGTTGGAACACGCTGTATAAATGCAAATGCAGGCCCTGTCGAAATCACGATTTCTATTATTGTCATGAGTTGCTTATGACTTGATGAAGTGATAAGAATATACAAGGTACTCTGAGGCAAACACCTATATTCCTGAACCTAATCTTTCGATAATTCGAAAACTGTTCATGATAGAACTTGGTATCACAGAAGATGTTCAAACAGGTCATAGTGTACAACATACTGCAAAGTCAGCCAATTCCACTGTGTCGCGTTTTCCTATATGTTCTGTGCGATTCCAATCCATCAGTTGTGAACAGGATAGTATAAAATGTGGTAATACATGGTTTGCGTCTTCCGTAAGTAAACAAATAGATTATTCATACAACAAAAATGTATGGTATTTGCTGGATACAAATGGAAAAATCCGATCTGAAGTCTTTATGTCCGCCGTTATTTTTTATTCGTGTAATAAAGTAAGCGAATCCTATTGCTGGTCCACTAATCCCGAAACGTTACTTTATGCTCCCCTATCCAAAAATCAATATTAATATCGTTTACTTTTATTACCTACATCCTCCCACTTCGAGAACGTCTGATATTTGGAGGATACATCAAGTGAAAAAGGTTTTACGTATGGTAATGTACCATGTGTGTGCGAATACGCCTATTGGTGGTGAAGTTACCGTCGTCGATTTAGTACAACACTTTTGTTGACAGACATTAATGTTATACTCGTAGATGAGTATGTAATAAGTTATGAGTTTGATCAACACTATAATATGATTACAAATTGCCTAAAGCAAAAAACAAGGTTTGAAATCTTTAAAAAACAAGAACTCAAAAATACGATCTCAAAAAGATTATAATTAATGTAAAGATGAAAAAAAAAATAAAATCGCTTCCAAGTCAACTGGACACAATTCGCACTGGTGCAGAAACAAAATTTTGGTTAAACTACTTGGAGCCCATTATTCATTTTATGACCGCTACTTTCTCAAAAAACTGTGAGAGTGAAATATAGGGTGGCCTAAAAGTTCGGGGACATTAAAATAATAATGCACAATAAAAAATAATACGAAAAACAATATCGCTCATTCCCGTGTATGTCGGTTTGCGCTAATCCTTGATCCGTCTATAAGTTTGAAAGTACTGCTGGGATATTGATGAAAATTCAACAAAAAGTTACTGATATGCCAAGGATGAAAAAATTTTGTAGTTTCAACAAAGTTGTTTTTTGACGTTTTAGAAGCTCCTCATCATTTTTAGAAAAGAATTGTAGGGTATAAAAGCTAGAGGTTGGGGATTGTAGTAGATGGAGGAAAATATACCTCGAAGTTTTGGCATTCCCACAGTAGACATGTTACCCATATGAGGTTGGAGGCGCCTATGGTTGTAAGTTTACCCAAACTGCAGTATGAGTATCTGAGAAATCAGATAATTGCTGAATGTAGCTCGGTAAGGAGTGACCCTGGTTTATTTGAAAAAGGTCAGTAGTAAATTAGGATTAAACTTAAATATTTTACGTCCTTTATCTTCGAAACTAAGGGGTTTTAGACAATCTTTGATAGACAAAATATGTCTAAAATAGCCCAGAAAGTTGTTTCATGGATGTTTGGTTGTTGTTTTGAAATTTCCTTCTTCATTGGACTATTGAAATAAACGGTTCCTCTTTTTCACCAAAGATGTCCACTCAAAACATTGCAGCTAGATAAATAACTGGTTTAAGGTCTCTGACCAACTTAACATCTCATCTGGATCGACTGCTAATTACTACTAATCAGATTCTATTCACATAATTTAGGATGCTGCTTGAAGATTCTGATCTGTCTGAACTTCTAAAAATAAATACAGCAGCTATTAGCAAGTGAATGTTCTGTCCTCTGATTCCTACAAAGGAAAAGATACCGTCTGATAAAAACAGTGGAAGGAGCCTGCTTGCATCTGGCTGTTGGATCTCATTACAAATCCGCGACTCGGTAAATCACTGTTTCTTTTAATTACGAAATCGAGCCTGCGCAATTAAACAGAACTTGCTGATCGTGGGCTTTCCATCAGATACCATCATGCCACCTTTGCTCAGGATGACTGCAGAGACTTGATCAAGAAAAATTCTACCAGTCAACAGCATGGGATGAAACATTGAAAATTCTAGATGTTCATAGTTCATAAATATCAGATCATAATTTTAAATGTTAGTAAAACCAAAAGCCAAAAGTCAGAAGCATTAGCAGCACAGCACAGCTTCCTAACAAAAGACATTAGTTGATCGAAGTTTTCCCAGCGCGGAGGGCCTTCTACCACCGATATAGCAGGACGCAACAAATTAAAAGTAAAAATATTATTTCATAGTAATGCATCTGTGAAGGCATGAACTCAAATCCGAGATGTATCTGCTACAAAAAATATTCGATAGAAAACGGCATCAAGTAGGTTGATCTGCGGTTCACACGAAAAAATGACATCAGCTCATAAGGGATTTTATGTTCGGTATAGCAAACCTGAGAAAAAAGCTAGCCACAAACATATATAACGAAAAAATCAAGCAGATGAAGTCAGTTAGACACCTCCATACAATTGGTCCATAGTCCCCATCCATTTGACAACGTTGCGACCTAGCAATTTCTCCCTTATCCTGCCCACAGTACCGACCACCTGGAAACGTTGCTGTGACTACTCCCGTCACTTGTCAGCCACCTATCGGTCCAACTCAGATGGAGATACATCCAGAAAAGCGTGCGCTGAAGATATTTGTACCTGAAAACCTATGATGTGTGAAAATGTCTGATAGCTGCGTAGAATTATCGGAGCTGGAAGTGTATATTTATACTAATGCAAACAATTCGAATATACGCTACTTCCTACAACCTCCAGCCTCCAATCCTTAACCGCTAGATTTTTTTTGAAAGCGATCATGCGTCTTAGAAGCGTCAAAACACGACTTACACTTTTTTCGTTTTTTGTTTGTAGCTCCGCAACCACTAGATCGACTTGCAAAAACTGCAAAGCTGCTTCGTTCTCATATCAGAATTTGATCTAAATTTAAAAGGTACTATCCGATGCTGAGAATTATTGGAAAGACTGGCCGACAGACCGAAAGGCTAACGGAAATGAGTGACATGGTTTTTCGAGACGAAACGTTGTAAAACTTTCCGAAGACAATATCTTCAATTTCTCACGATTACAATACGTCCTTACCCAAATGCGGTGGTGAGTAATAGGTAAAAATAAAAAGTAAGTCCATCAGCTGGCTTGTACCGCTACCCGACAATCGGGTCTAAAATCTTTCGTACTCCTAACTCCTCCTAACACAAGCATACCTCAATAGTTCTGCTCAGTAGGCTGTAGGACATTCTACGAAATGCTTATAAACAACTCCACAATGAACGTTACCAAACACTGTAATGCCATCTAAACCAAAAA